CGACTCAGCTTCCCAAGTTGTGGTTTTCTCAAATGGAAAATGGAGTAAAAAATCTTTGTAGAGCTGACATAAGTACATTTAAAGGCTCTTAGCCACCCCTTCCTTGGGGTTTGCACTTAATAAGTGGTAGCTGTTTTCTTCATTTTCTCCATTACGTGTCTTTTCCTATAAACTGGTTTGAAACTATGCCATCTCGCTCTTGATAGCTGACAAGTCAGCTGAGTTCTAGCAATAAACCTGAAGAAAATAAGCGGGCATCGCATCAAAGACGTGTTTGATTTCTGTGCAGTCAGCACAGTCAGCGTCTTACATCAGTATCTGAAATTGGGAGGAGGCTCCTAGCCCAGGATGGGGAAGATGTACCTGATTCTTTTGCTGATTCCAGCGCCTGATACCTCTCCCTCTTTTTCTGGATCTATTATTCCCTTACCTCCATTTTCACACAAGTTTCCTTCTTCATTCGGCTCGTCAATTATCAGGGAGCCCTCCTCCTGCGCTCCCTTTCCTCACACTGCCCTTTCAGTACAGCAGCTCCCTATTCTGTTGTGGTTTCTGGCTGAAACGTTTCCCAGATGAACACAAAGAAATAGTTGAATGATATTTCCAGAATTTGTAAAAAAAAACATATGTAAGAGAAGTCTTCCTTTTTTATGTCGAATACATTTGAAGAATGAGGGCAGCCAGCCCATGTAGTTCAAAGGAAACAGAAAGCAGGATGCAGTCACTGTGTGGGCTAATAAAGCTCTGGCAGGAAGAGCCCGCGATGGCCAAGTACGACAGGGCCAGACACCAAGTCTGTGGAGGGCAGGCTTTTCTGGTCTGTGTAGATGTGCCTCTTTGGGGGAATTTTCCTCTGGAACTGAGAAGAGGCTCTTTCCTAGCAGAAATTGATCCTCATATTAGGAATAAGCCTCATGCCATAGCTTTCATTACAGAAGAGGAGTCTTCACCTTTAAGCAGGGCCTGGCACTTTTGGGCCTGAGGCAGCTATAGTGAGAGCAAGAGGGTGCAAAATGTTTCCTTTCTCCAACCTGGTGTGCAAACTCAGGGCTCCTGATTAATGACCCGCTCCTCGTACTGTCTGACGCTAAGAGGTGGGTACGGCCTGAAAATCTGAGGGTAAAAACTGCAAAGGTATTTTGAGGACAATCTCATATTTGATGGTGCATTAAATTTCTCAGTTAATAGTAAATTCCCAGTTTCACAAATTCATTTTTTATACCAGATCTGACTTTATAATTAGGAAAATCTATTCATCAAAACTTTGCATCAGGATTGCAACATCCCTTTCTAACTCTGACACAGTAGTAAAAGAGAGCAGTCCTGCTCCATGTTTGTCTGGAAACTTCCTAGTCACCCCTGGTGAAAAGCCCAGCTAATTATCACATCTTCACTGAACCCTGAAGACTAATCCCTTGGCAGAGTTCTTAACTCACAAGGCTGAATGTCTACGGTTGCTGCATGGCTGTTTTTACGGCACTAATTACCCTATATTCCTCTTTTGTTGTGTCCTGTTCCTGGAAGACGAGAGCCCCTTGAAGGAGAGGACTTTACTTGATTCATCTCAGAGTGGTTATTGACGAATGACTCTCATGACTGTTACCTGCTGTTCATTATGACAGCACCTAATTAAAACGCACTGAAACATTCTGTTTGTCCTTGCATTAAATCTGTTTCTTGGTAGATTCCCCAAGCGAAAAGTACGTTGCTATGAGTGAAACACAGAACCTTGTGATTAAGATAAAACACCTAGTAGGGTGCCTGGGTGGCTCAGTTGGTTGAGTGTCCAACTCTTGGTTTCGGCTCAGGTCATGAACTCCTGCTTCATGAGTTCAAGCCCCGCCTCGGGCTCTGGGCTGGCAGCGCAGAGCCTGCTTGGGATTCTTTCTCTCCCTCTCTCTGCCCCTCCTCTGCTCACACTCTCCCTCTCAAAAAACAAAAAACAAAGATAAAACACCTAGAATGCATGCATTCAGTGACTGAAGAATATACCAAGACCAAATAACAGTTAAGGAAAATAGGTTTCAAATCACACTGGCTGCATCAGATGACTGGGTTATCTTTGTTGATGTGAATAAATAATATCTAAACACTCCCTGGAGGGAGTATGGATGACTGGTCAGAGAGCTCATTTATCACACTATTCTCACATCGAACGTGTTAATCTGCGAAAGTAGAGAAACCGAGGAGAGTCTAGACAAGGATGGCCTTCTCAGTAAAGGGCTGTGTAGCACCCTGACCTGTCCCCATTCTGCTCCCGGATGCACTCTGAACCTCCCATCTCCTGCAGGGACCTGTACAAGTTCCTTTTTGAAGCTACTTTTCTGGAGCAGTTACAGCCACCAAGGAAGCAGGCATTCTTTCCCATGTGGGACCTGGGGAAGACTGTTCTGTTATCTTTGGGATCCACTGGGGCGTTACTCTGATCTCTTTATCTCTGACCCCTCCCTGCCCACTGGACCATTTTACCTCTCACTTTCCATTTTATCACCACCACCAAGGGGTGCCTTTCTTCCTCCAAATCCATTTATCACCGGATCCCATAATATTCAAGGATCATTCTGACCCCACCACTTGCCTTTTACTTTTGACACAGAGCATGCAAGGCTACCAGAACCTACTCCCCACCATGTCTTTCAACACTACCCCCTCACTTGACCTACACTTCCCACGTCCATTTTCCCCTCTTCAGTTACCTGTGTTTCAAGGACAAACTCCACGCCAAGGTTGCAGAGTCCCTGGGAAGAACCCCCCAAGCAGGTCAGAGAGAAGAGATTATCACAAGAAATTCAGTCCCTAAACTGGATAGCTCTTTCCCTACACCTTCACCTATGGCAAAGGAAGGCCAGATGGCCATGTGAGGGGGCCCCTCTAAGACTTCTCATAGGTTTGTAGAATCAGGCCCCCAGCCTCCATCAGCCTCACCGGGACCTATGGAAAACATGGTATATAATATTCAGAAATGGTTGTCTGCATAGACCAGAACAGTCCACGAGAAGAGAAACTCCACATAGTCTTCTGCCCTATAGATTACGTTACTGTACACACACACACACACACACACACACACACACACACATATGAAATCTCGCCATTTGCAACAACATAGATGGAACTAGAGTATATTATGCTAAGAAAAATAAGTCAGAGAAAGACAAGTATATGATTTCACTCATATGTGGAATTTAAAAAACTTAACAGATGATCATAGGGGAAAGGAAGGAAAAATAAGATAAAAACAGAGAGGGAGGCAAACCGTAAGAGACTCTTAAATACAGGGAACAAACAGAATTGATGCAGGTGGGGTAAATGGGTGATGGGCATTAAGGAGGGCACTTGTTGGGATGCGCACAAGGGGGTAGCCTCCTGGGTTCTCTTCCTGAGGCCAAGACTACACCGTATGTTAACTTGAGGGGAAAAAAAAGCTGAATCTTGATATATATGTATATGTGTAGAATATGGATCTACAAAGATATATGTCAAATTATTTATAGTGTTTTATACAGGGAATTTGGTGGCAGTCTTCCACTATTTACATACTGTTAAACGTTTTTTATAATGAAAACATGTTTCATAATTAAAGAAAAGCTGAGCAGTTTAAATGCACTGGATGTGAGAGTGGGTCACCTAACACCATTAAAAGGAATCTTGTGATGAAAAAATATATATATATACGACCACACAAACAAGGCCGACTGAGGAGCTGAATAAGTAAAAAGAATGTGATGGGAAGAAAAGAATATTCTACCATCCAATCACTGCCTCCTTACCACTTGCAGCAATTAGCTCTTCAGTCTCTAGAAGATATTTGTTCTTCTTGATTGTACAAAAAATGGAAAAACTACCCTTTTACTTTATTATTCCTTCTTATAAAAGTTTTTTTCTCTTCCTTTTGCTTCTTTTGGATGGTCATACTCAAATTTTCATCCTGGTCCACAAGTTGCAAAAAGGCACAACAGGACTGTGCTGGGCAAAGTACACTTGGGGAACAGTGGCCCTATGATGTTTATTAGTAGCAATTTATGGATGTGATAGTTGTCTCTGATTGAGGGCATTACAGTTACAGATGGGATCGCTGAATTGGGCATCGTTGAAATAGAGGGAATGGGAAAGATGTGGATATTGGGAAGCCAAGGGTGGGATGGAGTAGCCACATTATCTGTTTTCACAGCCCTTCATAGCCCTTCAGCTATGACGTCAGGATCTGGAAGCTATATTGCTGTTGCCAATCAGATAGCTATTCTTAAAAAATTTGACTCAATGGGTGTCTGGGTGGCTCATTTGGTTGAGTGTCCAACTCTTGATTTTGGCTTAGGTCATGACCCCAGCATCATGGGATTAGGCTCCATGCTGAGTGTGGACCCTACTTAAGATTTTCTCTCTCTCTCTCTCTCTCTCTCTCTCTCTCTCTCTCTCTCTCTGTCTCTCCCCCCCCCCCCCCACCTCTCTGCCCTGCTCACCTAATTAAACAAAAAAAAGCACTCTCTAATGAAAAAAAAATTGACTCAAGAAAGCCAGAACCTTAGACTTAGGAGCTAAGTCACATTAATGACAATGTTCTGAGGTTATTAGAGTTTATGTAGTTCTTACCTCTTCTCAAGTTTTACTGTTTAACCTTTACTTGGATTCTATGAAATATCATTATATTCCTGTAATTACCCTGCATATTGATGCAGATTGTCACATTGTCCTAGGGACATATTATGTGTATTTTTTGAGGACAAATCATGATGTCCCTTTAATAATAAAAATATAATTTAAAAATGTTTTATCATAGGGACTCCTTGGTGGCTAAGTTGTTTAAGTATCTGACTTTGACTCAGGTCATGATCTCAGTTTATGGGTTCAAGTCCCGCATCGGGCTCTGTGTGGACAGTTCAGAGCCTGGAGACTGCTTCCGATTCTGTGTCTCCCTCTCTCTCTGCCCCTCCCCCACTTGTGCTGTCAAAAATAAACATTAAAAAAAAATTTTATCATAGATTCTTATCCATCTTAAAATCTCTATTACAAACATACACTTTATAATATGCATAGTATCTTATAACTATAATATATACATTATAAATAAAAATAAACATTGGAGGTGTGTGCTCAACATTTTTTCTGAGGGGTAGAAGGTGAAACATCGAATACCTGTATCTCCATAACCCTGTGTACCTCACCTTAAAGACATGGTGGACATTCTCTGGGATTCCACATATGTGTTCAAAGTTGACAGCTTTGTTTTGGCCACAGGAATCGCACAAGATTTATATACACACTTTTCTGGACATGTTAAGCATACCCAGAAGAGCTAGATTGTGTGAGATTGTACGCCCACAGCACCAAGTAAATGTCACAATCCCTTCTCCCAAGGTGGTTGTGGGCTCTCAGGACAGATCAAGGGCCCATAAGTCACCCCTTCTAGAGCCTGGGTTCATAGAGAGTCCCTGCCCTGCACCCCTGGGCCTTGCTCTCCACCATCCACCAATTCTCATCTTCCTACATTCTCTGCCTGGGTACCTGGCAAATCTCCTATCACTAACTAACACAAGGGCAGTCAAGATCTAGCGCTCCCTCCAGGAAGCTGGGGTCAAGTATCATCCAAATATTCAGGACAGAGATGAGGCCAGTTTAGGACTGCACACAAGTTTAGCACGAACCGCTTGCAAAGGTGTTGAGCTGGCCCCAGTGGAGAGCAGGGACTGTAACTCCTACACCCCACCCGTGGAACTCAAAATTGCTGTAGTGAAGCCTTGAGTTCAGAGGGTGAGGGGGAAACATCTAGGACCATGAATCTATGGTGGGGCACAGTTTCCACCTGCGCCCAAGATCCCATTCCCTTCCGGATGACAGCTGCAGAAGTGGGCACTGCGACTCATTTCTCAGCCTCGGTGAAAGCATACCGCTGCCCCCCCCTCCACGGGACGTGCCCTGGGGCCAGGAGGGGACGCAGAACTTGGGGCTCTGTTCTGGTAAAGTGCTGCTGGTGGTGGCGGTCTGTCGGGAAGCGTGGACCACGGGCGTGTTGGGGTTGCTAAAGCAGGATGTGTTCTCCACTTTCCCCTCCCGATAGGGAGGTAGCTGCAGGCAGGGCAGCTGATAAAATTGGCTCAGCAAAGCCGGGAGGGAAAGGAGAAAACACTGTTAACAGGTTCAGGAAAGAAACGGACACATGTCTTCCAGTAACACGCATGTCACTCTCTAAGCCACTGGAAAGGAACTGGATGCAAAATTAGGGACATGAACAGTGAGCCATGACACGGGTCACCCCCTCTCCTGCCCACCAGGCAGCCCAGCAACGAAGGGGGTCAGTACTGCAAACTAGGTGCTGAGATGGATGTGCTCAGGCCTGAGACGACAACAGGTGCTACTCAGAGGTGGGCATTGTCCGCAAGACCCATCTGTTTTGAAACAAACTTTGAACTCAAAAGTCAATTCTCTCTGCCATTTGGTCCCCCTGAGGTGTTGCCCGGCTCAACAACACCAAAGCAGGGCAAATGGGTCGCCCGGTCATCAGTGACAGGAACGTTCACACTGCAGATGCACAGCACCTGCAGCGAAGTGAGGAGAGCGTGAGGAAGGGTCAAGGGTTGAGTGGGTGAAAAGGAGGGACACAGACGGGTGGGAAGGAAGGAGAAGGTCTCTATCACCACGAATCAGGCCACTCCCATTCCTTGCTCTTCTCCCCCAGTACCTGACTCAGGCTCCACCTGCTGGTGGCTGCCTAGAACACCGACGAGGTGACCTGAACTTGGTGCCATCTCGGCAAGTGTGTGCACATGTTTTCTTGTGCGTGGAGCAGGTGGTGTAGAGGGGGAGGGTGTCTTTGAGCACAAAAGCAATGCCTGCCAGACCCCTTTATGGGTAAGTCCTTTCTTACAGCCATTCTTGATGACACTGTGCAGGATCGTGTGCTCAATGCGAATAACTGGTGATCGTTGCATGCTTGGTAGAGTCATGGGGTATCTTCTTCAGGACCTACACCGCACCTGAACCACAGGCAGGTTCTGCAATTTGTGACAAGGATTCGGGTGTTCTGGGCTCACCTGGGACCACAATTCAGCCCGCTGAAGCCAACGTGGCCAGACATTCCAAAGGTCTCTCCACAGCCATCCACATGGTCGGGGTCAATGCCGCTACAGGGCCGAGTGGAGTCACTGCTGAAAAAAGAAGAGCCACCAAAAAGTGGAGTCACCAAGGAGGAGGAGTCCCCATGAAATAATAGAAGAGCGGCTGGAGCCACCCTTTGTGCCATTTCCACCTGGAGGAGAGAAGAGGGTGGGGTCAATGTAGCTCATCCCGGCTCTCCTGCAGTCTCTTCACCTGCCTTGGCTCCCTCATCCAGGCCTAGAGAAGCAGCCCTTATCTCCTCCGGGCAGGTGCACACTTACACGGCAACTGAAGCCTGGGAAGTTCACGTCTGCTTTTCGTTACATAATTAAAATGGTGAACGTTAATTTTTAAAATTGCTTCTCCTAACGTGAATTTCAGACAGGATGAGTAACCACATCGGTAGAAAACCCAGAGCTAGAGAACTCAGGGAGGGGGTGACCCTCAGGAGTGACCCTCCTTATGTTCCCAAGGGCAAACACTACTCCCCCAAGGTGAGGTAGTGGCTTCACGTGCTGAAGGACTGGCCGTGGGTCCCATAACAAGCCGCTTCTGACTCACAGCTCTTTGCTTTTCACTGGGGGCTGCTCTACGTTGTGAAGTACTAGAATCATCCAGTCTAGAATCCCACTCTCTGACCTCTGCCTTTGCTTTTTCCAAATTGCCCTTCATAGGCCAATTAGTCAGGAAACGACAGTGTGCTGGCTCTTACAGGTGTCCATCAGCAACCTCTGGCCTTTGTTCTCTCTTCATCCATGGTAGATGTTATAGGCTGAGTTGTGTCCACCACCGGCCCCGCAAAATTCACATATTTAGGTACCAACCCCCCGGTATCTCAGAATGGAACTGCGCTTGGAGAGAAGGTCTTTAAAGAGGTGATTAAGCTAAAATGAAGCCCTCAGGGTGGGCATTAACCCAATATGACCGGTGTCCTTATAAGAAGGTGTAGAGACACAGAAAAGGTCAAGTGAGGACACGGCAAGAAGGGAGCTGTCTACAAGCCAAGGAGAGAGGCCTCAGAGGAAACCTAATCTGCCCACACCTTGATCTTGGACTTCTAGTCTCCAGAACTGCAAGATAACAAATTTCTGTTGTTTAAGCCCCCCAGTCCATGGTAGTACTTGCTATGGAGGCCCTGGCCAACGAATAGACTTCATGGACCATGACTGAAGCAACATTCTAAACACCCTCACCTCCTTCTTGATTCATCATTCCTATCAGGCAAAAGACCAAACCCTCTGCATCTCCCCGCACCTGATCTGGCTGAGACTCGCTAGATAAGATCACCCAGGCAAGTATATTGTGCCACCACAGTCCTACAGTCTCCAGCTAAGGGACATCTCCACTACTACCTGGAGTTCGGACTTCCATTCATCCCACCTGTTTGGCTAAGTTCCTTCTCAGTGCATTTAAGAGACATGAGTGAACAAGACTGACATTGCTCCCTGCTCCAGGGACCTGGTATCACTGTTCCATGGTCAAGTCTCCTGTCCTTAACTATTTCCAACGTTCTCCACTTTGACAAACTTCTATTCCCCCAACCTCAACACATGCATCACATGCCACTTCACACAGGAAGCAGAAGCCACCAGAAGAGAATTTCTCTTCGCCAAACTAAAAAAAAAAAAAAAAAAAAAAAAAAAAAAAAAAATGTGTACCCCACCCCTCCTCTCCTCCTTTCCTGTTATAGTGAAAAAGGTTTCTCAAGGTGAACCCGTTGAACTTTCCAGCTGGGAAAGTTGCCTTTCTTTCCCCAGGCATACTCCTTTAGTCTATGTTATGACTTTTGGCTCAGTTGTTTATTATTGCCTTGCACAACCAGGACTCGCTGCTCGATCAACAGCATTAAGTGCTTAGCATTTAGCTGGTACTCAAGAACCAATGTATTTTTTGGATCCGCTTGTATAAGCGTATACCAAAGGCATCACTGTATAGCTTCTATATAACATGGAGTTCTGCAGAACAATCCCGGCAATCTTTCTATGGCGGTTCACACAGATGGACCTAATTTTGTATTTTGGGTGCGACATAGTTCGACTATTGGACAATTCCACGGCTGTTGTTAAGTTTAATGAACAGGGGAGTCCCACTTCCCAAATGGGAACCTCTAGTGCCCAGGGCTGCCTGCAGGAGCCCTGGGCACTAGAGGTTCCCTAGTGAAGCAGCAAAGCCCAGCCTACGTTGTTACAGCAGAGCACATTTGAAGCTCTTTCTGGAGAACCCGAACCTCAGCAAGATGTCTGGCAAATTACAGCTACTCTGTGAAACGCGTAAGTAGCTGACATAAATAATCTCTTCCGGCATCTTCACTTAGTTTCAGGCCACCTGTGGTGATAATCTTTAAGGTACAGGTAAAACAATGGTAAAAAGACAAAGACAACTTGTAAGAAAATATATATATATATATATATATTTATATGTAAATATAAAATGAGGGAGATGGGAAAGGGGATGTTCTCTGATTTTCAGACATAATTTTCAGCCAAGGAAAATCACAACGCTTCACATCAAAAACTCTTTCCAGTGTGGCCATTCGGTTTGGGTGAGTTAGGAACTTGCCTCACACACAACCTGAAAGGGGGTGTCAAATGACTTAGTAATGAAGAAATATTTCAAGGCAACATTCTTAACAACAAAAGTTAATGACAAAAAATCCTTGATGAACAAAATATCAAAATTTTAAATAAAGACAAGATCTGGCCTTGAATTACAAAAGCCTGAGAGTTGTACAAGTTGGGTGAAGGGGGCAGCAAAATTCGATTTTGACAAATTCCATTTGGTCTACCCATTTTTTTGTCAAAGAAACTGAAGTTCATTTCCTTGCTAAATATCCCGAACACTTTTCACATGACACTGCCAGAAAGGAGTATGATTTGCTTACTTACCTCTGATAGTGAAGTGTATGTCTCAATACATAGAGAAGCACTTGATGAAAATTTTGATTTAGTCAAAATGGAGACCGAGCCTAAAAATGTGCCAACAAGACAGTTATCACTGTTTTCAGCCGAAGAAAAGATTATCAAAATAATGGCCTGCCATAAAATCATATTTTCAAACTGTGGGAAAAGAATATCACCTGGAATGTGGAAATGAATTAGGGAAAGATGGAGAAAAGAATTAATGTAAATGAAACGTGTATGCTATTTCTCCAATACCGTTTCAGTACTAACGTTAAATTCTCTCAGACGGCAACTCTCTCAAATGAAGATAAATTGAGCAAAATAGTTAGTTCTGAAAATGATTCATGAGTTTGCTTTCACCGAAGCCCAGGAAATGATAAATTCTGGGTTTGGTATACATAAAATATTAAACGTTAAAATAACCCGAGTTTTAATACACCTACTTTTCAATATTTTTCCAACAGTTTAACGTTGCAGGAAAAAGTAACCTTTACATTTCAATAAAATCATACATATTGATTCGTGTCCAGACTGTAGATGCGTACCGCCTTTCCCTGACCTCCCGTCCTTCTCCCCCAGAAACAATCCTGGATCTGCAAACATACCCCACGAAGTGCACTTTCAGTCCTGCCCCGCATCCCGAGGAAATGAGCCCTTTGTAAACCGCTCTGGCTGAAACACTGCTCGACAAAGGAGAGGATCCACGCAGGGGCCGACCATGAACATTAAAGGCTCGGTGCGAAGTGCGGCTCAGCTCCCCCTCGGCGGTCAGGCCCGACAAGGGAGGGGTCTGCTCGCTGTCCTCGCGGCCCCACCCTGTCCCGAATTCCGGCGGCGCCTCTCCCGGGAGGGGCCCCCCGCTGCTTGCGAAGCTGCGGTTTCCGCGGGACCCGGCGTTTGACGCCCTGGCGGGTTCCGCCGGTGGGAGATGCCGGTTGGGTCGTTACGTTGAGTTCGAGCGCCCCCTTCTGGCCGTTGGGGCGTAGCGAGGGGGCCTGGCGCGCGCTGTTTAAGAGCTGGCAACCTGCAGTTTCACTGTGGTCCAGGTGAAGCTGAGAAATTCTCCACTCCTGGTCTCTGCAGACGGCAATGGTGATGGTCAGCGGTAGCTGAGTCTGTTCCTTTGGTTCGCTATGATTTTGGAGCCAAAGCCTGGAAAATAAGGACACCGGAATTCTTTTCAGGCATCTGAAAAGCAATGCCTATAAATTAGGCTGGAATGCCAGAATCCAATTCAAGTTTCCTGAGGAAAGTAGAGATATCATCAAAATCCAGAAGGCATAAGATCTCTGTTTCTGCTATCAGATTCTCCAGCATATATTCAGTCGGCTCAGTATGGAGACACAGCTAGTTTAGAGGAAGATCCTCCTGGAGAAATCTACCCTTTAGCCTTAACCACCAAACCAGGAACTACTGGAGGAAAGGCTGAATATAGAAATCCTTCAGCCCTGTCCTATGGGGATATTGCTGTCCAGAGATTCTTCCAGGGCATCATTCCCCATATGAAGGACTAGGAAGTTGTCAGAAAGAAAACTGAAGTGCACTCTTCCCTTAGTTAATAATCCCTGTAGGAAACAATCAGGACATTATGTTACACTCAACCGATTTTAATCAATTTTGTCACTGTTTGCCAGGCTGGAAAAAAGTTGACAGTTCTTTCCAGGTACTTACTGAAAAGGCAAAGAGAAAAATGGAGACTGAGTACTCCAATAATAACCAGGAGTTTCTTTCTCAATCTGATATTCTACATCTTACACATACAGAGAAAATATTTTTGTAATCCATTAAATGGTGGTTGTTGTTCTTTTTTAAAAAATACTCTTCAAAAATCTTTTATAACCTCCCTTGAACCATAATTCACATTGTGTCTTTTGGT